CAGGCTGAGGACAGACTGAGGACAGGCTGAGGACAGGCTGAGGACAGACTGAGGACAAACTGAGGACACTGAGGACAGACTGAGGACAGACTGAGGACAGGCTGAGGACAGACTGAGGACAGGCTGAGGACAGGCTGAGGACAGACTGAGGACAAACTGAGGACACTGAGGACAGGCTGAGGACAGGCTGAGGACAGGCTGAGGACAAACTGAGGACACTGAGGACAGGCTGAGGACAGGCTGAGGACAGACTGAGGACAAACTGAGGACACTGAGGACAGGCTGAGGACAGACTGAGGACAGACTGAGGACACTGAGGACAGCAGGTCTGTAGTGTTTGAAGGCAGAGCGAGAGACAAACACAAAGTCAACAAGGAAGAATTTAAAGGGATATTTCAGCCATTTTCACGTGGACCTCTGTGGATCTGGGTTTTGGAAGCTGCCCCGCCCACTTTCTGCCTGTAACCATGGGGTCACATGACCTGCATGAAATAACCAATCACAGCTAAACATGTTGGACACCTGAAGACAGCTGAGGTGTTCTGACTTTTCAGAGGGCGGGGCTTAAAGCCTGGCTTTGATTTAGCTCATCAGTCCTGTCAGTAGAGTCCTCTACAACAGGTAAGATATTAACGGCTCACATAGGTGTCGTCTCACTGAGACAAACCCAGCTGTGGAGACAGGTCAGGGACATCGGGGACAGCTCAGTGGGACAGCACCGGTCCACAGAACCCCAGCTGAAAATGAACAGAACGTCCCTTTAAAGAGGAGTGAAGGAACGTTTGTGTCCAGGCCACCGAGGTTCAGATAAAGTGCTTTTCTCTATAGTGTCACCTTAAATAAGTCAGCTGATTCTGAGGAAAGGAAGTCTGGGGGGACAGGGACAGACTGGACCCTCAAGAAACAAAAAACAGACAAAGAGTTGAGGGTTCAAATACGTCACTGTAGTGTGTGGAAGGAGCCGTTCACATTTCTACAAACTGATTCAGAGTAAGACTGAACTGTGGAGGGAGGGCTCTCTGTCCTCCGAGGACCAGGGGGTCTCTGTCCTCCGAGGACCAGGGGCTCTCCTATCCTTCGAGGACCAGGGGTCTCCTGTCCTCCTGTCCTCCGAGGACCAGGGGGTCTCTGTCCTCCGAGGACCAGGGGC